GTGACTCCCACTGAGATGTCCGACATGTCGTTCGACGCTTGTGAATGGTCCGTCGTGATACATGGGCGTGATCCCGTGGTGTACAAGGGCCATGAGCGGAACCTCACACAATTCGCCCATCTGTTGGAATTCCTTTGCAAAAAGGGGGACGGCATCATGTTCCTCGGGAAAGCGCACGCACAAGTCGTGTGGGAGGTTTTGAAGGGTGGTTGCAACATCATCGCGTTGGAGGGGAATTCGGAGTGGTTGCAATCCACGTTGGATTTCCTGAAAACCGCAGTCAACTCGGGAGCATACCGCTGCGAGTTCATTATGAAGAGTGAGAAGCCGAGACGCGTTTGGGATCCTTCGACGGACATGTGGTTTAAGCTAAGCTCCCGGAAAAGGAGCAGGATCTACGAGTTCCTCTTCTTGGAGAAGCGGCCTGCGAGGGGCACCGACATCGAGTACATGCGCCGCAAGGAACACATGTTGGCGCTGCTAGACAACTATCACGGCGCCACGCGCCTGAACGTGAAGAACTTCCTGGACCAACTGGAGTAATTGTACTTTGTCGAATCCGAGCCGGTCCTGAGGCTTGAGAGTTACGGTGCCTTGATCGACGCCGACGAAGAGTCCCTCACCGGTGTTGTCTTCGACACCGGTGCACCTGAGGAGGATAGCGACACCAAGGAAATTGACATCGACTACCGCCTTGCTCCGGTGCTCCCATCCCCGGCCTCCTCGTCGGCGAGTCCCTCAACAAACCGGCCTGCACAAGCGACGCCCGTGCGGAGGACCCCTAGTAAGTTGTTGGCGAGATTGACACCTCGGCCTGCTGCGCCTCCTCCTCTGCGTCCAGGGTGTCAAGTCCCCCTGCAACATCCTTCTCGGAAGGATGAGAACATCCACTTCAAAGGGCACGACCACACGCATTCCACGGAGGCAGACTGGGGTCATGACATGATTTGGCACCCGGGGACGATCCAGCCCGCAATTCGGAAGGGGGAGTGGGTCATGGCCATAGTCGACACTGACGGGGAATGGAAGCCGTCCGAGCGCTTGGCCAAGTCCGACTACTTGGATATCGCGAGGAGTGTTGTGGTGGACAAAGTGACGTTAGAGAACAGCAACCTGCAGCCCGCCGACCTGGCCATCATTGCCACTGCTGATCGCTTGTTTCGGGAAATTCATGACAAGCAGTGGTTGGAACTATCTGACGATTTCTACGACCTCGAGACGAGCCCTTCGAAGAAAAAGGTGAACTGGAAAGTACCCCCGTCGAGAGGGACCCAGGGTAGTGTGGGAGGAGGACCTTTGAGGCCCCCCGCGGCCGGAGGGGGGGGAGGCAGTGGCCACGAGGAAGGAGGTGGCGGAGGCAGTGGCCATACGACATCAGGGGGAAGCGCGCCGGCATCATCGCCAGCCCCTGGCGGTCAGGGCAGGATCGCGCACAGCGGCGTGGGGAAAGGGGGGGTGAACGTCACACACTCCCCAACAGCAGGGAGCGGCAAGTCGGGGAAGTTCTCCCACATCCGAACTTCGCAGACCGAGGACCCAGTGCCCGTGGAGGCAGCGAAGTCGGCCGGCATCCGCACTTTGACGACTCTGGAGCAGGCGGCCCTTCCCTCGTGGACTGCTTTCGGCTCCTCCGGTGAAGTGGGGCGGGGGTCATGTGCAGGGGATCCTGTCTCCGCCGTGAAGGGCAAGTCCACAGGGATCCCTGCCAGGGCGGACGACGTTCAGGCGAGTGTACCGGTCCAGTGGAGCTCTACAGGAGCACAAGCATCGGAGATGGGCGCCACCCTGGCTGTGTGGGAGGCGACGCCGCCGGCCCTTGGACAAGGCCGATCTGCGGAGTCACGGAGAGAGATTGCTGGTGGAGCGCCGTCCGCCTTCCTTGCGACGAAGTCCACCGGTATCCGTACTTCGTCCGTGACGTGCCTGCAGTTGGAGGAGGCAGGGACGGAGTAAGGTGCTACGTCTGTTCAGACAGACGACCGCTCCTTGGGATCGGCCTTGATGCGGCTGCAAGGAGCCGAGTCGCGTTAGACTAACGGGGGGGGAAGAATAGGTGGAAGTCGAGGGCGGGGAAGAAGGGGGAGAATGGGAGGAGGGGGGAGAAGGAGACGAAGGGCGAGAGAAGGAGTTGATTACATTGCGCGACGGGGAAGACGGTGAAGAAGGAGGACTCAGTATCACAGACGAGGAAAGGGTGGATGCCGGAGACGAGGATGTCTGTGGGGAGACATCTGATTCGTTCGGTCTGGTGTACGCCAGACCAGGTGAAGGTGATATCGACGACGACGCGACGACGATGGAGATGGAGATGCAGGAGGTTAGTGGCCTTTCCGTGGACCACGAAGAATATGACGCCCACCACCTGGCCACGGCGGTGCATCCCCCCGACGGGTGCGACGAGGCTATCATGATAGTGAGCCCAACGAAAATGAGTTGCCGTCCTAGCATCAACGAGGTCATCGATAGCATACTGGGCGACGTGCAAGCTAGAACACTTCCGTCCACCCCGTCAAAGGACAATGCCCTTCTCAGCAACGAAACTTTCGCGGCCGGGGACTTGGCGCTCATCCAGCCGTGCTTTCCGGTACCCTGGTCACCGCTCACAGGAGGAAGGGGGGGGGTTGTCGGGGGCCGCCAGCACGTCACGTCCCCGAAAAAGTGCAGGGTAGGCACTCCGGCCCTAGCTGTCCTCGCCTTACCAGCGTCCACGTCGCCGACGAAGGAGCGGAAAGAAAAACAAACTAGTAAGCATTGATGATCATCGCGATGTCAGCACTCCCGCGTTTCGGGATTGTCGACGCTGTCTGTCAACCCCCTTGTCGGTTTATGCCCCACGTTAGATGGACAAAATTCCGCTTCACTTGTCAGCGAGGACTAATTGGCCTCTTGTTCTTTAACACACCGTCACACTTTATTCTGCGACCGCTCATCCGCTCCTTCCTCTACAAGTCCTCTGTCGCCGTCTCGACTTTCTATCTCTGGCCGACACCTGTAGTGCGGATACCGGCGGACTACAAGACAGACCGTCCGATAAACGATTTTCGCAGCGACGAGCTTGTGTGCATTCGCACATAAAACAACGAGCGCAGTCTAGCCCGAGAACCCTGCACATGACGACGAAAGACCACATCACGCCAAAGAAGAGGAATGTTTACAAATGCCGAAGTTCGGATTCCGGCAGACTTGCAGCTACAACTAGCAGGTCAGGTCGCAGAACCGGGTTTGGTCCTGACACTGGAACTGCGGAAACCGCCGGAAAAACGGTAATACGGAAGGTCTGTTCTGAAGTCCGCCGGCATCCGAACTACAAGTGCCGGCGCGAAGTGGAGCACGCCCCGTTGGTCAGTGTTTGCGAACTGTGGCTGCAAGTCCGCTGGAATCCACACATCGGCAAATGCCGACTTTCCACCTCGCACCGACACTTGTAGTGCGGATACCGGCGGACTAGAAAACATACCCTTCGAAGTTCCAGTTTCCTCCGGTCACCGCAGTTCCAGTGTCAGGACCAAACCCGGCTGGTCCGTGTCTGCTAGTTGTAGCTGCACGTCCGCCGAAATCCGAACTTCAGCATTGGTAGGTGTTCCTCTTCTTTGGCCTGATGTGGTCTTCGTCGTCATGTGCTGGGGTCTCGGGCTCGACAACGCTCGTCGTTTTATGTCCGAATGCATGCATGCTTATGGGCTACATTATCTTTCACATTGTCACTTTCGTCGAACTCCTCCTAGGAATCATATATTCATTTCGAGTTCTGTCTGTTCTCTGTTTTACAGGGGTCCGGTCGTCTCGAAAAAGGAGTTTCTCGAAATATTCGGCATGTGTATCGCAGAAACTTCCGAGATTCACGACAGGAAACAAGAATATGTTAAAGGCATCAGGGGTTGATGTCGAGATTGGAGAGAAGGAGCATGCCTTAGCCATTGACGAATGTCTTTCCCTTCTACCTGCGGAGAAAGGGACATATCCACGATCTGTGACTAGGGGTCAGGCCATGTATGAAAAATACTTAGCGACGTGTTGTGCGGTGAACTACAACCTTTAGAACTTCCTTTCTCACTTCCCCGCGTGTGCGTTGGTCGATGATGTGCAGCTCGAGCCACAACACCTGCAGCCTGGGGGGGGCATTTCGCTACGGCGATTGCGCCTCAAGTCTCGCGGGTTATGGACGATGTTTCTCGCAGCGTGGTGCCTCCTCATCATGTCCTCTCTTCCTTTGCGGATGATCAATTCAGAATCACAGCGAAAGATATGCTCACCGTTTTGCAAGCCAATGGCAAGATCAACGATGAGGTGGTGAATTTCTACATGGCCCTTTTGGGGTCGACGGCATCCGCGACACGTGCACGACCATCAGGCCTTCGAATCTTCAGCTTCAATTCTTTCTTCTTCAGTATGCTGCAACTTCGAGGACACACTGGGGTGGAGAGGTGGGCTAAAAACGTTGATCTTCATCAGTTCGATATGATCTTCGTTCCGGTGCACAAACATAACAATCACTGGATCCTACTTTCCGTTAATTTGAGAAACAATGTCTTCGAAATGTTTGACTTTTTTCATCGCGTTAAAGCCGATTCCAGTTTCTACCGTAGTGTTTTCGAGTTGATTTTACAGTATTTAGAACGTCATACCTCACATAGCCGGTCGGATAGGAGTTGGAAGACTATGGTCAGAAAAATTGTTGTGGAAGGAGTTCCAAGGCAAGTGGATGGAGCTAGTTGCGGGGTGTTCATGTTGACATTTACAACGTTGTTGCAACGTGGTGATCGACCCCCTTTCAGATTCTCGAGTAAAGATTTGCCTGTTATAAGACGACAACTGGCAACATGTCTCTTGGACATTGCCTTTGACAGTTTTCAATGACTTGTACAGAATTCTTAAAATGTATTTCATTCTATGGCGATTGTATTTGGTAACATAAGACATTATTCAACTGTCTTTCTGAGTTCAAGATTGTTTTCTTCATTGGGTCTGTTTCTCGTTGTCTTTGGGATGCTCACTGTCGGTCTGGCAGTGGTACTATTTTCGTGCAGTTCAACATTGTTTTCTTGTAGTTGGATGACTTTCTCACGTGTGGGCTTCGTCACCTGAGTCTCTTGTCGTGCAGTGGAACAATTCGTGTTGCACTGTATGATTTCTATTGCAAGTGAAACGCACAGGGCACCGACATCGAAAGTTCGGATATCGGCGGACTACAGCCTCTTCGCCCCCCCGACAACAATCGTATGTAGGTTGTGGTACATAAGATTGTTGTCGGGGGGGGGGGCGAAGAGGTTGTACTCCGCCGACACCCGAACTTTCGATGTCGGTGCCTTGTGCGATTCACTTCCTCCGTATGTTGTGTGTGGAAAGTAAGGCGTGAAATTGGATTGTTGCCCCTTACTTGTCACGACGGTTTGCAATTTTGCTATTTGATGGCATCTGTGTTCTCGCGTGTCTTCTAGCCCTTAAATGACGTTCTCTCACTCTTTTTCCGTGCACTGGAACAACTCGTGTTGCGCTCTATGATTATTATTGCATGTACGACAACCTACATAAGACTCTTGTCGGGGGCGGAGGCGAAGAGGCTGTAGTCCGCCGATATCCGAAATTCCGATGACGGTGCTCGTTCGTTTTCACCTGCGCTCGTCCTGTTCTGCTTTTGCATTGCTCTTAGAATTAGTCCACTTGTGGAAATATTTTTGGGGGTCCATGGCAGTTTTAGACACAGTCGCGGGCGTGAGATTCATTTTGCATTTCCACATGCCGTCCACGGTGCTGCTTGCGTTTCCGCGTGTCGTGAGTCGCCCCTGCGCCATCACGTAACGGCCTCGCTGGGAGCAACTCTATGGGGGCACTGGTTTCTCTGAATTCACCGCAGTGGTCGCCTGCTGTCCAACTGCCTGTTCTGCCCCACTGCTCGGGTGCACCCATAACTTTTTCCTGTTGGTTATTCCGCTGCAAGCGCGCGCCTGGCCTATATAGGCACGGCCGTGAGCTTACGCTACATCATTCACAAGCCATGTGTGAGAAACGTAAGGTTGGGGGTTCAAATCCCTTTTTCCGCTCGTATCACCGCAACGCCGCGCACTATGTTGCACCGATAAGACCAGTGCCCGACATGAAGTCGGCATGGATTAAGGTGGCCGGCCCCGATGCGGGCCGGCGCACTATGTGGCACCCATAAGAGCAGCACGGGGATTGGGGGAAGGCTCAATCCCAGAGCAGTAAGCACGGTAGTTCCCTTCTTCCCTTCCTCAACTCTGCCCATCGGAACTTTCGACGTTCCAACATTCAAACACAGGAAGGAGTCGACGTCATTGTGTTGCTGTGATTATCCATCAGTGGGGGTCGCAGGTTGTGCTGCTCAAGGCACCTTGCTCATCACAATCAAGGCACCTTGCTCATCACGATCATAAATAACTATGGATCTCAACACACTTATCAAACTTCTCCGACAAGGATACAATCAAGGCGCCTTGCTCATCACAATCGAAAATAAGACGTAGTATGGATCTCAGCACACTTATCAAACTTCTCCGATAAGGACACAATCAAGGCGCCTTGCTCATCGGAATTATATATAAGTATGGATGTCGGCACACTTCCGCATATTAGGCACACCTTGCTCATTATAAACAAGTATGGATCTCAGCACACTTCCGCATATGGGGCGAGTGGAGGGGTGAGTGGATGGGTATGCTTAGGTTGCTTAGGCTACAGCTGAAACTGAATTCGTTCGAAAGAGGACACAATATAATGTCCTATTTTAACGAATAACGTATTAGGAGCAGGCACGACAATTGCAGCAAGAATAGGTGATGTGGCCGATGCAATGAGAGGGGGAAATTCGGTGTTGGAACTATTGGTGGGGGTACTTGCCCGGGGGGGGGGGGGGGGGGGGGGGGGGGGGGGGGTGCAGCTTCAGCGGCGGGGACACAGACCAGTCATCCCGATGAGATATATATATATATATATATATATATATATATATATGAATCGGTATGTGCACCGGTCATCGGGTGGAATCGATGTGTGCACCTGGTTTTCAGGAGGGGTTG